GAGGTACCTTAAGATATTCGAAAACTGACTCCAGGGTAACAATCCGTCATTCCCTCCGTTAATACTTCTTCTCCATTATCCTCCTCCTCCTCCTCCTCTTCTTCTTCTTCTTCTTCTTTTCTTCACTTCTTCTTCTTCTTTTCTTCTTCTTTCTCCTGCCTTCCAGTGACCTCCATTCCTCCCCCCACCTCCGTTTTTTTCTTCTTTTACCTTTTCTTTTGTTTTTTTTCTTCTTCTATTATAATTATTATTATTTGTTAATAATTATTATAATTAATTACTTCATAATTATTATTTTCTTATTCTATTATTATTATTAATTTTTTGATTTATTATTATTACTATTATTATTAAAAATTAATTGTTAGTTTTACCACTCTTTTCTATAAAAACACTAATTGTTATTTAGAAAAATAGCACTTATTGTGAACCGTCACTTTGGATTGGGCATATATGAGTCGCTTGACAAAAGTCAAAGTGCACTATAAACGGAATCCAATCGAACCAAAGCAATCGGAGGAAACGATTCAAAATAATTAAGTGCTATTTTTCTAAATAACATTTAGTGTTTTTATAGAAAAGAGTGGTAAAACTAACAATTAATTTTTAATAATAATGGTAATAATAATAAATCAAAAAATTAATAATAATAATAGAATAAGAAAATAATAATTATGAAGTAATTAATTATAATAATTATTAACAAATAATAATAATTATAATAGAAGAAGAAAAAAACAAAAGAAAAGGTAAAAGAAGAAAAAAACGGAGGTGGGGGGAGGAATGGACGTCACTGGAAGGCAGGAGAAAGAAGAAGAAAAGAAGAAAAGAAGAAGAAGAAGAAAAAGAAGAAGACGAAAAGAAGAAGAAGAAGAGGAGGAGGAGGAGGAGGAGGAGGATAACGGAGAAGAAGTATTAACGGAGGGAATGACGGATTGTCACCCCGGAGTCAGTTTTCGAATATCTTAAGGTACCTCGGAGTATATTTTGAAAAACAATGGGACCTTCCAGTCTTTATCCCAAAATTAGGGGTACCCAGCAGCAATTTTTTGTAGCTTTTGCAGTTACCTGAAGGTGGCATCGGTTATCATTAGGTCCATTTGGTAATCGTGGATAAAGAGTTATCAGCAAAGCAGCAATAGAAATTTTGCTTGTTGAGAAAGTATGTGTGCCACCTCCAAGAAACAGAAATCCAATGGCCAAGCTCACCTGAAATGTATGAAATCAATATGGCCCATATGAGAGAGAGAGAGAGAGAATACCTGCTGCAGCACTGCCTAGAAATATAGTTCAACACTCTTAATTAAAAATGTTGGTAAGAGTCTTTTTGTTTCCTAGCAGTCTTCAGCGCAAGTATGCATGCACACGCACAAACACATGTGTGCACACCATAGCTATTAAGAAGTTGCTTAGGCCCTATGAGATGGACACCTCGCCTCAAAACACCTAAGGCCATGAGGCGCTCCCCTAAGTGTCCCCTCTCGCCTGAAAATACCTGAGGCGATGAGGAACTCTATTTTTTAAAAATAACATGTGTACTATTCGTTTTCTATGTGTGTAGGGGCCAGTTTGTGTGTGAATAGACCTGGGTGAAAGAAATGAGAATGAAGTATTTTTGTTTGTCATGGTGCATTTTACAATTAGTGCATTATACAAAGTTTGATTTGTTTACAAATTTGCCACAACATTTTTCCTGATTTTTTCTTATTTTCAAATTTTTATGTCCCTTGGATCTCATATTCTAAACAACCACATTCATTCTCATTTCTTTCCTAAGATCTCATTCTCACCACAACCAATACATACATACATACATATATTGAAATGCCTTCTTTTTATAAAAGAGAAGAGGTATAAAGTACAATCACTAATAGTTATTTCACACACACACACACATATATATAAACTGTCTGTGCTACTTTAATTAATGAAGTAGTAGTTAGTCAAGCAATGCAACTTTTGACGTTGAGTCGGGGGTCTCTTTGGAAACAACCTCTCTACTTTCGAGTAGGAGTAAGGTCTGCGTACACACACCCTCCCCAAACCCTACTCCTGTGGGATTTAAATGGGTTGTTGTTGTATGTATGTATATATATATATATATATATATATATATATATAAATATATATATATATATATATAAACACACACACATATATATACACATACATATATATATATATATAACTACATCCCCCTTCTTTTGACAACAAGGGGTGTTGTCATAATATGACAACACGTCCATTTAGAGTACCTACGGTGTTCTGATCGTAAAATTTATTGTTCCTACCCCCCCCCCNGGGTGTTGTCATAATATGACAACACGTCCATTTAGAGTACCTACGGTCTTCCAATCGTAAAATTTATTTATTGTTCCTACCCCCCCCACCCGGCAAACCCCCCTCCAAGGAAGATATGAGGGCATTTTGGACATTTTAATGTCATAGTCAACGCTCACTAAAAATGAAGAAAAGTCAAACTGGGAACGTCTTTCCCGGACGGAGGGAGATTTATTATATCAGTGTTAACACCGGCCCCAGGTTACACTACAATACCACTGGTGTTTTGGGGTACCTACAGTGCTCCACTTGTAAAATCGATGGTTCCCCCTAACCCCCACCCCATATATCAGAGGGGTTCCATTGACACCGGCTCCGGTCAACGCTACGGTGCCACTAAGGTTTTGGGGCACTTAAATTGCTCCGTTCATTAAAATGATGGTTCAAACCCTCTCCTCCGATAAACCCACCACCCTGGCTCGAACCCACCCCTCCAGCCCCTTCAATTCCATCCCAAAAATTTTATTGACTTTTTGGTATAAACATTTGACCTCTTAACTCAACAAAACTTGGGGCAGTCAGTGAGGTGCTACTTTCGAGAAGATGCAAGATCTACATATACACTCTCTCTAAACTCTACTTATGTGGGATCCAACTGGGTTGTTGTTGTAAGTCAACAAAATTTGGGGATAAAATTGAAGTGGTTACGGGGTATGTTCGGGTCAGCAAACTTGACCCCGGAGTCAACAAACGTTAGGATGAAATTGAAGGGGTTGCATGGTGGGTTCGGGCCGGGTTACCGAGTGTCATCCGTTGACACTCACTCAAAATGAGTGACAACGGAACCTAATTGTTATTCTATTAAATGATTATTATGATACACACCCACGCGCACACACACACACACTATGTGTGTGTGTGTGTGTATGTGTGTGTGTATGTATATATATATATATATTGCACTTGCGTAATGGACGCCTAGGCGAATGCCAAATCACCTAGGCGACTAGAAGGTACTCTGGCGCCTGGCCTCATCTAGTCGTAACCACTACGGCGCACAGATGTGTGTGCGCACACACACACAGAGAGAAGGTGAGAGTACTTACACACATATGAATACCATAACTTGAGTTCCCGTCAAAAATATTTCGACATCTTAGAAATTTCAACAGTTTGAATGTCTGTAAGTGCCCAGATCCAGCCATGACCTGTTAACACAAATTCATAACTCAGAATGTATTCAGTAGATGATTCAATTAAAAAACTAGCATATAAATAAATTATTCTCCGTATACCACACATAGGGAAAGAACAATGAGGTGAAGGCATGTTTCAAGTGTGCCGCGGTCAACGTATTTAGATAGCCCTTTAGGGAAGGTATTTGCACTTGTAATTGAAACCGGCTTTATCTGTATATGTAAAATAAAAAGTGAATGGTGTAGCACTTTAAAGAAAAGCTACAAAAAGTAGAACTGATAATCCTTTTGAATAATTCATTTATTAACATAAACATGGCACCACATGTATCAGCCAAAAGTGGAAAAAGTTTGGTAACAGCTAGCACCTAGGAGAACCTCATCTCTTTACCTGATGTGTATTAATAACGTGCTACAAACCAACACCTCAATTAAAAAACTAAGACATTATAGAGAAGAAACAATACCTACGTCATATTACCCTAAGTGATGCTCAAGTACATATTACAGATGCCATGCATCGATAGAAAGGACGGACCTCATTAAGGAAGTATACAGCATATTTGTAAAGCAGCTCCCGTGAATTACCATCTCTTGTTCCTGCAAATCTCAAACCTGCAAGAGCATTAAATTTTATGTTGAGGTCCAAATAAGGTACCAAAAGTGTGTTGAAGGAATAAACAAATTGACCAACATGTAGCATCATACATTAAGAGTCATCAAGTTAAGAGTCATTACTTTATAAGCAATATAAGTACAAATTTTATAACCATTAACTCAGCAGATATCATACATCAACTATGGTCTATGGCAAAGATGTAAGAATATTCAAAACTAAAATTGAGAACCCTAAACATAAGACACGGCGATGCATTCACAAAAAAAAGGAGCTGTGGTGAAGTTCAGGAGTCCAAATTCATATGAGTTGCCCAGTTACCTAAATTCCATAAAGCCTGAAACCATTCTCAAATGCCCTAGGCAGATCTTACGCCTAGCAAACAATACCAATTTCCAAAAAGCAACTCACCAAGAGAGATACATGCTCCAACGACTATGTTGACATATGCTTTAACAAATGCTTCCGCATCATCCTCGTCAATGTTGTCTAAATTTACTGCAAGGCATTCTATACCACGTTGAATAACTTGTGGAATCTGTGACCATATCCAATCTTCAGATGGCTGAACTCTGCCAACGAAAAATGGGTTGTTAAAACATAAGAATTAACATTCAAAATTATTTGAGAATGGGCATCTTTTGTTTTCAATTTGACCTGCTCCACATTATCAAATTCCGAGCAATAATGCGCAGCATTATAAAATCTGGTCGCACATATTGTAGCTCAAAGCGCGTCTGTGGTATATATAACCTTGAGAATATCATTTCTGATTCAGTCTGCATATGACAAAAGTGGGCATTTGAAAGAGTTTAAATGAAATAACTATCAGCAGTAACCAGTAGCAAGGCCTCAAAAGGAGGATTTATCAATTAGATAACAGAGTAGACCTTCATGTAGATTAGAGCAAGAGCAACTATGGCTCCGGGTGCAGTAACATCAACATTGTTCGATGTGGCATCCATTACCTAAACAGCAATAGCACATCCAGAATAGGAAATTGAAAAGTTTTGGTTGGCTAGAGATTGATCTGGCTTTATGAGAATCCAATTCAGATCCATAATAGAAAAATAAGACGGGGTACACGGCATCAAGTAAATTTAGACTAGACAATAACCTGTCCTGCACTATGGTTGTGCTCATTAATGGGTGGTGTGAATGAGTACTGATCCTGTTAGGAGAGAAATATAATCCAAAGGTTAGAGATTTTTTGTCAGTGAGGAGTAGGAGAACTATAATATCATTTCATCAACTTGAGGTGTTTCATCAACTTGAGGTGTGGCATTGAATACATTTCGATGGTTGCTTCCTCCAATATATTGAAACAAGCGATCTACCAATGCGTCTTCAAATCCTATAGCATCTTCTCCACGACCTCCAGACAAAAGAATGGTCAAACACATGTTGAGAAGAGATTATTAAAATGAGAAATTGGCAATCATACCTAATGCAACAAGACCTAGTGAAAGCCCGGCAGAAAGTGCATAACCCTCTCTCTCAAGTACATTGTCCCCTCCACTTCTACGACCTATTTCACCCTGCACTCAAAAGTGGAGGTTGTTAGGATATAAATAACCTTTCCTGGGCCACAACCACAAGCTTGAGCTTTTTGGTTGAATTGATTCCTTGACATGGTATCAGAGCCTTGTTGACTAAGAGGTCATGGGTTCAAAACTCAGCGCCACCCAGTTTAAAAAAATGTAAATTTTTACGTTCAAGGCTTGAAAAAGATTGCGCCTGCACGTGAGGGGGCATGTTAGGATAAAAATAATTTTTCCTAGGCCACAACCACAAGCTTGAGGTTTTGGGTTGAATCAGTTCCTTGACAGAGGTAAAATTATTTGTTTTGATTCTCCATCCCAAAATTTACACTTTCCTTTTTTGTTCATCCCAAAATACTCCAGGCTTCTAATTTTTCCTATTGAAGAAAGAAACATGCAGCTCACAAGTTTTCTCTCTAAATAATTTTCAATCACACACTCTTTACTTCTCAACACTATTAACTCTGTGAAGTTTATGTTGGGACACAGGGCATATATATATATATATATATATATATATATATATATATATATATATATATATATATATATATCAAACACTGGATTTAGGTTTAATATATTGCCTTGATTAACCAACTCATCTACAACATTAGATTTAAGTAAATTCAGTGGTCTAGAGTGAGAGCAGGTGCCTTATACTTAAGGAGTAAGTGGCTATTTTCTGTACACACTACTTTATGACCCCTAAAAAACACACATCACATTTTTTTAAAAAAAACCTATTTTTGGAGGGAAAATGATTGATCGAGAACAGGTTTTAGGCAATTGACCCTTCAGTGAACTTCACATAAGGAGAAACGTACCAGAAGAATATGCATTGTTTGAGGATGAGCTGATCCCTCATATAGCAGCCCAAGACACATAAGTGCTGCACACTGCCAAACATATAATACAACACTTTTAAGTAAATTTTTCACACAAAAAACAATTAGGCGTACAGTTAGTCCAATCACTGCAATGCCAATCCATTAAAAGTGATGAAGCAACTTATAAATATTGGGAAAAACTTAGATGATCTTCAGAACTGTCACAAATACCCTATAATGATGCATCTTTGGGAATGCAAAATTTCTGGCCATTGGAGAAATTCCAGAGGATTCGATCCTATTTTTATTGTCGCCTGAACTCGGTATAAAAAATTGCAAAATTAACCATTCAATTTGATGGCATTTTGATGTTCAAAGGATGGTGTGTCTAACACCGAGTGTACTTGCCGGCATTGTTTTGGTGCATTGGAAAAGTATTCACATGGATTTAATCTGCTTCTATGAAGGCTATATGTATGTGTGTGCACGTGTATGGTGATCAATGGTAGTAGGTTGGAGTGGGTGTAAAATGATCCGGAATATGTATGTCTACCACCTAACTAACAACCATGGTTGTCAAGTCGTCGCCTAAGCCACGACTAGTCGCCGACTAGTCGTCCGGGCGGTTTTGCCTCTGCGCTTTGCTCTTCGACTAGCGCCTAGGGTAGCCTAGGCGAAAAAGCGTGCAAAGCGACGCTTAGTCGCGCGTAGGCGATGCCTAGTCGGTGAATAAAACTGCCCAATTTGACCTAACCCAATTGAACCGGCCCGACCCAACCCGACCCGACCCAAATTTCATTAATTTTTAAAATTTTCAATAAAACCTGGCCTCCTTCGATGCAATCCATCATCGACAGTCAATCGCGACTCTCCTCCATCAGCGACTTCATCCACTTCCAGCACTTCCGTGAATTCCAGCGACTCTCCTCCAGGCGGCTCCATTAGCGACTCTCGGTAAGATTTCTGAATGTTTACTTTGTTATCACTAAAGTGTACTCTTTATTTGATTTTATTTTCATTGATTTGGTTCATTAAACTATAAAGTATACTATACTTTAAAAATTTTCAGTTTTTTTTCTGATTTCAGTTAATATTTTGATTTTTTTCTTATTCTAGTATTTTAGTATTTCAGTTTTTTATTTTCAGTTTAATATTTCAACTTTTTTATTTCAGTTAATATTTTGATTTTTTTCTTATTCTAGTATTTTATTATTTCAGTTTTTATTTTCAGTTTAATATTTTAGTTTTTTCTGATTTCAGTTAATATTCTGTTTTTTTCTTATTTTAGTATTTCAGTTTTTTATTTTCAGTTTAATATTTCAGTTTTTTCTGATTTCAGTTAATATTTTGGTTTTGTATTTCTTATTTAAATATTTTAAGGGTTCCAGGCTCTTGTTTTTGTATAGTTGCTGGAATGTCATATTCATCAACTTAATTTAATATTTATTTCAAAACAAATGGGAGATAATAATATCCGCGACTACGACGACGATCTATCCAAGGATTCCAAACGAAAAGCCAGCTCTAATGATCCCGAATTGAAATATGGGTTTTGGCCAAATATGAACAACAAAAATCTTGTGGAGTGTACATTATGCCACAAACAAATAAAGTCTGTGGTATTTTGTCATATAAATAAATAAATAAATAAATAAATAAATAAATAAATAAATAAATAAATAAATGTGTGTGTGTGTGCGCGTGTGTGTTCATGTTGAGTTAATGTAGATATATATAATGTTAAAAATTTCAATACTAATTGTGATTTATTGACTAGTCTACGACTAGTCGCCTAGTCCACTAGTCTCCCCGTCACCGACTCGACTCGCCTTGTCGACTTAACAACCATGCTAACAACATATATGTTCACATTTCAAAAGGATTCACCTCTTTACTTTCATGGATCTCCAACAATCCAACCCGAGTATTAAATACTGGCTTCATCCCACTCTCGTCTTACCATCTTGGCTAGTCTCGAAATGCTCGTCTCACTCAATATTTGTCATATTTGTGTCATTAAAAAATTATTCATAGTTTGTCCATTTTTTACATATTCAATATTAGCCACACAATTCCACTCTTTCCTAAATTAGTGTCACTTTCCCTAATCCCAAACATAGTGGGACGGAGGGGGTAAAAGAGATTGTTAAAAAGGAGATCATAAACAAAAAATTATCACTACACGATAGAACTCAGAGATTCCTAGCATGAAGCAACAAAATGAGGCTTTGAGGTTACTCTTAAACATGTAGTACGGACTACGGAGTAATATACTATATACAAATAAAATTAAATAAATAATAAAATCAAACATATGCATACAGCCTTACATGGTAAACCTGTTTTTTTTCTCTGGGGGTGGGGGGCCTTCAAAAAACTTAACCCACCATGAATTGGGGATGGGTAGTAGTGTAGTAACCTCCAACTCAATGACTATCATTTTCCTCTTTAGAAGTAACTTCCTCCGGTAGTGCTCTGAGCATTGTATGTGTGTCATGTATTACTTGTGGGACTATGTTGAAAATAGAGTGAATTGTTTGAGTGGCATACAAGCTACACACATGGTTAACACTCGGTGGTCAGAGTACTGTGCATTTAGTGCTCCCAGGCAGTAAGTTTTCATTTTGCAATGTTTATTAACACTTTGGAGACCCTCGTGTCTGTAATTGTTGTTCACTGTCTGAAACCCATGTCCCTCAATTTTCTATCAACACCTTGTTTCATAGAATCCTTATGTAATTATCTTTGAAGTTTGAATGTGTTATTATGTGTGAAGTAAGCACCCCCCCCAATCATTAGTACTACTACTACCATTACGTAATGATTTTAGCGCCATCATCATCATCAATCTGATGTGTATATTTAAACCAAGGAATCAAAGGTAATGAATCTAACTCCAAGGCTAACATGGGGATAAAGGCAGAATATTGTGTTCCCACTATAGGCAATAGGCACTACAGAACATGGCTCCTACACCTGACTAGTAAAAGAGCAAAAATCAATAGGTTGAAGAGCAATTTTTTTTGGAGTTTCAGAAGGAAAGATAAAAAATGAGCTGAGTGATAATAAATATGAGCATATTTACCTGGAGAAGTGTTGTCAGTTCAAATTCAGGATATGAAGTTGGATGGTGCGCCGGTATGTGTACATAAAGTGACTGCAAAGCAATAGATAATATTTGTAATTACTCTCATGAGTCTATAAGTGATTATCGCATCGCAATATATTTTACTAATTAGATAAGCGACCACCAAAACACAAAAGAGCATAACAGAATGACAAGGTTCAAATCCTAAAGAGCACAACAGCCGCTTTTAATGCATCACAACTCTTTAATTATTGCCTAAACCAATTGATTAAGATTTAGTTGTCGCGGAGATCAGAATTACAAGGAAAAAGGTTGTTTTAGTTCTTTTATTCCTAAGATTGAAATGATGATACCAAACCAACACAATATACACCTAGTATATCACGCTTGGTAAAAAGGTCTAGAGGGTAAGATGTACGCAAACCTTACATCTTCCCAAAGAGTAAAACAAACCATTGTTCTGTTTATATCCACTCTCGAACATGATCCAATAGTCTTTTAAAAACGCATTACAAAACTTAACAACGCTTCACGCAGTGAATTAGTTCACAAAGCAGTGCCTCTTTCGGTAGATACTCGTCAACCCCTATTTCTTTTAAGGGATGTAGTGGTTGTGAGAGTTAGTGGACTGAAAATGAAAATGGATAAAAATATTTCACCTTGGAAATTGCCGGGTGCATTGATCCCCTGTACGATGCTGCTAGTCCAATCATTAATCCTAAAGATGTTATATCATGCACCTGAATAAGTGGACTATAGTTAAGAACAATATGATCATGCATTCACACATATTCTTCGGTATTTCCTAACGATGAATGACATGTATACTTCCCTTTCAAAATAGTTTTTTAAATGTGACAAATATATGAGAAAAAAATATGAGGCGGTGGTGCGTGTTCATGGAAAATTGGTTCAACGCCACAGAATCATGCAGAAAAAATGGATTTGCATTAAAAAAAATAATACATGCCAAAAAGTTTGAAGAAAAATAACTTTTTGAAATATTTTAGCCTTATAGATAAAGATGATTCACAGAATGTTGTTTTTATCCATTTTGCATGAGAATATAATCTGGTCTCTTCTGTTTTCATAAATAGCTTTGTAATATTACTATGTACCAGGTCCTTGGTCTCAAAATAATATATTCACAAAGATACCAGTTACACCTATCTATTTATGATTAGCTGTAAAAGTGCTACATAGCTCCAAATAATGGCATACAGAATTTGATCCACCAAAATGAAGCTAAGGTAAATTAAAAACAATTAGAAAAAAAATTATGTGTGCAATATTTATGACCTCTGCATAGTATTGGTATATGTCAGATATACTTAAAACACAGAGATGCCCATGTAACCCCAGAGCAAAGAGTAGTCCAGCATGATTAACACTCGGCTCTTTAGGTTTGTTATACATTATCCAAGGTCTTGGCAATTGACCCTGCACAAGTAAACACAAGATGTCAAAAATAAAAAATGCTGAAAAGAGTGTCACAACGAAACATAGCAATACTTAAATTTTCATCACCACCAGTACCTTGACCCAAACCAGTTGGGGTTGGTGGCAGGAAATTATATCATCAAGTACGTTAGTTAACACTCAATTAAAACTGGTCCAGACTGACTGGTTGAATAGGAAACACAATCCTGAGTAACCTAAAGAAACTGTGCATTTTAGAACCGCCGAAAAGCAGCAATGAACCAGTCTAAAACCTGTGAAACCCAATATGCAATAGCCAGATTGAACCCTTTTTTTTTAATTCTATTTAAAAACAGAAGAAATTGTAGATTCAGCCAAATCAAGATCAATTGACAACAACCCAGTGGATCCCGCGAGAGTAGGGTCTAAGGAGGGTGTGTATACGCAGACCTTACCCCTACCCAAAAGTAGGGAGGCTGTTTCCATGAGACCCCTAGCTCAAGCTACACATAAAAGCTCACAATAAATACATAAAACAAGGAAAGCACAGTTACAACACAATAAAGCACCAGGGACACAGAATTATAACTAAACTATCTTAAATAAAGTTACGAAATGAGAGCAAATCCAGATCAAGTGACTAAACCAAAATAACTCTTGCACACAAGGTTTTAGATATTATTTCAATTTTTAGTTACTTTTATGAACTGAATCTTTGGCTGCACCGGCGATGATGGAAAGCATTATTATTATCATATTATCATCATCATCTGATCATCATCATCATATTATTATTATTATTATCATCATCATCATTATTATTATTACTATTACTACTACTACTATTATGATTACTATTAGTATCATCATCATCTTCATGGTTATCAGAGCGCCATGGCGGGGCACGACGCAAGTGTACCGCCAGGACACCTATGCGACTAGGCAACCACCTAGGCGACATAATAAATGACATTTAATGTATATTAGTAGCACTTAAATAAATATAAATATACCACACCATGGTTCCCAGGACATTGGGAATCAATGTCATGGAATGACCTGGGGTGCCCTGTTTGAAACATTGATGGTTCTTACCCCTGATAAACCCTCCCACCTTGGCCCCCGACCCCAACCCACTCCCCCACACCCATCAACTGCACTCTACAAGATTTAGTTGACTTTGGAGTCAAAATTTGACTCCAAAGTCAACTAAATCTTGTAGGGTGCATTTGACGGGAGTGGGGGTGAGCTCGCATTGGGCTATGGTGGGGGGTTACTAGGGGGTAGGAATCATCAATTTTTCAAATGGAACACTTTAGGGACCCAAAACGGGTTCCATATAATAGGATGACATGGGGGTTAATGTCATGGGAACGCCCCCCATATATCACATTGTATATAGCAGTTCAAAAAATTTAAATTTCCAACCCAGTAAAGTTAACCTTAAGAGCTTAAAATAAAAATATAAAGAATAATCATTACTGCACATAAATAAAAAACTAAACAATAATCATTAATGAGGATATTTTCATTGAGTTTGAAAAGAGACAAAAATCTAAAAGAAAATCATTAGTTAGTAGGCTATCATTAGTGAATTTAAAAAAGAAATGGACAAATAGTAAGCGAGGGAGTAAGAAAAAAAGAAGACAAATACAAACTAGTACAAAATTAATTTTGAAGCAGCTCATTGCTTACTGTGCGTGAATCGAAGGCAATAGAGTCAGAGAGGTCAGCTTCTGGCATGTCTCACGACGGCAAGAGAATGTCTAGACTCTAGAGTCAAAGTCAAAGAGTCTGGGTCCTGACTACATACGGTTTCGTAGTTACAGCTTTGGGTCACGACTCACTATCTAAAATACAGAGTAAACAAACCGACCTTCCAAAAAACGTGCCATCCTTGGCAAGCGCCTAGTCGTCCCAAAGGTGACGCCTTTCAAGGTTAGGAAAAATCAGCCGACTATTTGGAGCTCAGCGTTTGGATGCCAAGTTGATGCCTATGCAACACCGTGACAACTATGGTCATCATCATCATTAGTATTATTATCCTATTAGATCTCACTTGTTTGACAACCATGATTGAATTATTGACCTTGAACTGGTGTCGTTACCAGGTCAAGTATTAAAAAACATTCGTTAATTTCAAACCCAAATACTCTATAATATCTTGATGTGCAAAAATTATTGTACATGCTTAACTTGAAAACTATGAAAATCAGAATCAAATGAATCAAACTTGTTACATAGAAAACAGGGTGTAGCAATGATATAACATGTGTTCGGTAATGGAAACATATATACTAGCATAGTTTAGGCAACTTCAGTAAACAGTTTTTGGAACAAACGGGATTTGGAAATGTTTAGTAACAAGTTGAGCAAGAGGTCTTTAGTGCACTTGAGATGTTTCAGAGCACACAAGAAATCAGACCATAAATTTTGTCCGTACAGGGCGGAAAGGCAGTAAACTTTTCTGACAGCAAACTACATCAGTACATTTGGGAGAGCAGGTCATGAACAAGGCTGAACACCACATTGTAACAAACACACTTATAATGTGTTTTCATTACCTCGTATTGTTGCCACACCATGATTTCAACAAAGAAATAAGCACACAATGAGCCAAATCCAAACCTGAATTGGAGCAAGTCTTAACCCAGCAGCAACCGCATTATGAAACTCTGGCCAGGGCTGAAGTTCTTGTACATTTCGAACATTTGGATCTAGATTAACCTATCAATAACAGAATAAGATTGAAAAGAGGGAACAGTCATTTAGATGATTTAGTGGTAGTCAAAACTCGAACATTGAATTGAACACATGAGCGGGTGACATAGTACAGCATAGCAAACGAAAAGAGGAACACGGTGAAAATTAAATAATGCATCCAGTCAGCAAAAAAAACATTAATGAAAAGGCCGACTTGGAGGGGAGGTAGAAAGTGTCATCTCCAAAGAAATTAATTACATACCATTGCATTTTGTTGAGCCGGCAGCCGACCAGCTAATACAAGCTTCGGTACACCAAGTGCCTACAAATGTTTAAACTACAAAATGTAACACCAATAAGGAAGAAAATGACAAGTATAAAAATCTTCAGAAATCTGACTAGTCTCTGACTTATCTCTCACTGGTTCATTCAAATGGACTAAAGGTATACCTCCGTCAAAAGTGTGCAAGTAGTAGAAAGTGTAAAAGCGCCACGACCAAATGGAAGGGCTGTTGTCCTCTGTGCTAGTTGCCATAGCTGAGCCTACAGAGAAACTAAAGTTAGCAGCAAACAACATTCACTAACATTGGTATAGAGACAAACAAATAAAAAGCTCATTGAGTTTCTTTCAGGTAACACTAAATACCAAAAAACTAAAAGCAGGAAACATGGTTCGTTGAGAACTCTTATACAATTGAATGAAAAGGTGATCGAGTTTTTGGAAACACTAAATATGCAGCACCAGAAGCAGAAAACATAATTCCTTGCGAACATTACTTTAGCAAATCGTGGTCATATTTCAAACATTGAAAAGAAAATCAACATTACTAAACATGAACACAAAAAGCAATGCAATTGGATAGCTCGGAGACTTGTTTTACTAGTGTTAGAGTACATCCCACATCGGAAATCCATGAGTAAAATAATCGGTATATAAGCTCTAGAGTTGAACTAACTAATCGATTGGATTCAATCTTTTAATGTGGTTCAACCCAAGTGTCTTATTGCCCAATCCAGTTGCCCATACCCAATCCTAAATTCTATCATGGTATCAGAGCCAATTTTAGCCCACCTCGTTTGTCAAGGTGTCCGTCTAGACGTTCATTCCTAGCGGTCCGTTAGTCTTTAGCCCAGTTGTCCGTATGGAGGTTGTACCCAGCGGCCTGTGGCCTGTTTAACACGATTGCTCGTCTGGAAGTCCATACCCAGCAGCTCGTGGTCCTTTAGGTGTTGGCGCTCATAAAAAAAGTCAAGGGAATAGGAGTTCATTTGCAAGTGGTCAACCGGTTAGATTCAAAATGGCCCGGTTGTCCACTTGAGGGGGAGTGTTAGAGTACATCCCACATCAGAACTCCAAGAGTAAAATAATCGGTATATAAGATCTAGAGTTGAACTAACTAATCGATTGGATTCAATCTTTTAATGTGGTTCAACCCAAGTGTCTGATTGCCCAATCCAGTTGCCCATACCCAATCCTAAATTCTATCAACTAGCATCCTATTGGAGAAAACTTAGCTTAATTTGCCGGAAAAAAAAACACTCAAATTGTTACTAGATCTACAAAACATGTAGAAATATATACAAAATGATATGTTGGTGTTCTAAGGAGTATATAGGCAGCTGGCCATCTTTAACTTGAAGCACCAAAGCGGGTAAGACGAGGAAGCAACAATAGATCATGTGTGAGTGTGTATTTGGCATAGTTTGTAAGGCGTCGCCTAGGCGATAAGGCGCTGTCACTGGGATGCATTGTCTGCTTGCCTCGCTTAGAAAACCTTAAGGCAATCAGGCGCTCGCCTAGGCATCGCCTTTCCTTGCCTTAACTCGCCTTACCTCGCCTTGGGCCCCTTTAAAATTTTGAAAAAAACCCATTTTTCAGTGCAGCCCATTTTCTTTCAGTGTAGCCTAACAGACTTTAACTTTTATCTTCTCTCTCTCGGTTTTCTCTGTCTCGATAAGTTTCCCTAAAATGTATAAGATATATATGTGTGTGTGTGTGTGTGTAGGTATGTATGTCACCTAGTCATCGCCTAGGCGATATGAAGGTACATTGGCGCCTTGCCTCCTTACAAACTATGGTATTTGGGAAATGAATCCGATGCTAAGCTACCTGTTGAAGGTCTTGATCAGATGCAGTTGGGTTAACTGGTGTTTGAACAGCTACTGGTCTAGCAGAACATAGCAATCGTCTAACCTGTAAGGAAGAAAAAGAAAGTCACAATTTTAAAAACGATCAGCACATTTTTTATCAAAGCATACTCAAGAAAAGAGAAGAGAAAAGAGAAAAGAGAAAAGAGAAGAATTGATATAGGTAATAATTCATCCATATTATTTCTCACAACATAGGTGTTCCCATTAATTGTTTACATCTTTCACTAAGGAACTTTGATAAGGACCGGGACCATGTGACAAATCCATTGAGTTCATCAGATCTACTTTACATTGACTTACTGACCTCATTCAGTCGCAGATCACGACCATACCGCAATAAGGTGCTAGAGTTGAAAAGATGGTCCATACCATCATTTATATATCCCTCAAGAGAATCTGCATCTTCTAGCTTGCTCCTCTCTGAGTCTATTGAGTCTGATACGGAGGTAATCATCACAGGGTGTAAGTGCAGCACGTAAGGAGTACATGTAGAAATCAAATTTGCATTTACATCATCCTCAAGTTCCCCGGATTTGCTTGGATATTTTAACTTTGGCAAAGCCAAGTCCTCCCTGCCAATAAGCACATAAGCAGCAGGGGGCCAATTCACCGGAGGACATTCGCGACACTTATCCAATGCCTAAACAATGAAGTTATGGCTATTTATTTAACAATAGAAAAATGTAAGAATGTTAACAATTCAATACAATGATAAACCAAGTATGGTTGCAGTATCAATCAAATGATTACTCCATATTTGCTAATTGTATTAGAGAATAAGAGGAAAACAGCAAACATCATCTTGGTTTACAAATCTTCTGTTTACCTTGATTTGGAACCATGCTATAAAATACAAGCTGAGAACTCTCTTATCATAAGAAGAATCCATATAATTTCTTTCAATTGAAAACTTACATGTCGTAAAGGAAGAGACACGCCAGCCGGCAGTAAATCTAGCTGTTGCAAACCAAATCTTTCTCCAACCATTGCCAGGACAGTTGCTTCCTCTCTAGAGTGAGATAATCCATACGCGATATTGCAGAAAACACCAGAAGATAGCCTCTTACCCAATTGATTTGCGCCACATAAAAGACTATAGAATGATACAACTTTTCGTGCCCAGTTTACAACAGACCTGCCTTCTTTAAAAACCAATGGTGGAATGTCACATATACTAGCAGAACTACATCCAAATTGTAAACATGTTTCAAGCCACCTGAACAAATTGGGAGGCATTTTCCGGGAAAATGTCTCGCATGGCATCTTAAACCCTTTCGATAGTCTTGGAAAATCACGTATATAATGATCCAAGTAGCAATATGCATCTAAGGACACAGCCACATCACATAATAGGGCTACCAGCAGATCCAAATCCCTATATAAAAAACATATTGACAGGTAACAATTAAAATAGGGACGTAAAACTAAATATAAGAAACAACAAGTTGAGGTACTCAAAGAATTATACTCCGTATACTGCAACAGATGGCCTTCAAATATGCAATGATCCAAAGTCATCATAAATTCATAACCCTCCAATATGTTGTTGAATAAGATAACACAGATGCTGAATCTTAACGATGGTAATGCTGGAACAGAGACTCCATGAAGATTCACTCTTATCAAATGTACTAAGGAAAATCTTCTGGTGTACTTTACGACTCTTTTCCAAAAATTATTCGAGTGAACAAGAAACTGAGTATAGAAATTTAAATTTAACTTGCTTCTATGTTCTAGCTAGAGAAATGAAAATGTTGAGGAATAAAGAAAAAACTGCCCGCGGAAAGGGAAAAAACATTTTCTATTAAAAAAAATATAATTTTATAAGATAAATATACCGTTTGCGGAGATTGTTTAGTTTCAAAGTCTCATATACTGCATGAAGTGAATCCAGAGACTCAGTCAGTATCTCGTTATAAACTGTGTTGCTAGATTTCTGTGTACTGTCTCCAGATAATCCAGATGCATCAAATCCCCTCTGATTGGAAGATTCCAGCTGAGGAATTCCGGCTATTAGATTATTCTGACAGTATTTTTTGTGATATTTACTTTGAATGAGAAACTCCCATGATGAATATAAGGTTAAATCTGAAGTCCTTTTGGAAGAATGAGTAGAACACCTGCACATTTGCAGTAATACATTACAGAATGTTTCCCACTCTGAATCAGCAGTGACATCATTCCTACTTAGATAAACTGGATTTTCATTCTTCCATAAAAGAATAAGAAACTGTTGGTAGATGCTAGGTTGTAGCCCTTCTGCCATTGCTGTGATGCAATCATTAGCTAAGGATGATGAAGGGAAACGTCGTAGTGCACATCTGTAGATCTAGAGTAAGAAGAAAACACATCAATTAAACACACAGCGTCGTAGTGCGCAACTGTAAATCTGGGGTAAGAAGAAAACACATCGATCAAACACAAAGCGAGAAAAGAAATGAAAAGGTAGGCTTCATACTTCATAGCATTAAGTTGAAATAAAACAGTTATGTGGACTTATAGCATTATATGAACCATCATCCATAAAACAATTCGTAAAGGAATCCCTTAGATGTAATTTACATAGATACACTAAAGCATTCGCATTGATAACAACTGGAAGGTACACCCCCTACCCCACCCCAAAACAATCCTTCCTCTGGCATGCTAAAACTCTTTTGAAACTGCAAGCTCTCTGTTTTTTTCATATTATCTTAGGAACTGCAATATAAGTCAAAACCCGTTCAACTTAATGTGTCGTGTATTATTTATGTACTTCATTAGTACTCTATATTCTGATGCATACATTGAAGTGCCATCTGTTTGATTGGAATTTGGAAATTAATTGTTCGATTCATTTATCTGCCTGTTCCATTCACACTTAATTAATTGTTTGGGGATCTTTCATTTGCCAACTAGTTGCTTCCTCATTTAACTTAAGTTTTACTAACGCAGGACTATTAAAAAGGAAGGAACCAAAACTACTTGGGATGAAATGAGATATACTCCGTACTTAACAGAAAGTTCATTTAATATTTAATTATGAAAAGAACACTGTAATTTCACAATACTTGAGAATGATTTTCTAGATACTTCATCTTGTAAAAATGCATTACTCGAGCATATGTAAACACTACTCAATACCTGTCCATTATTCATAATAAGATTTATACGCTCCTCAACAGCATCAGCTATTCCAACAACTTCCAAATCATGGGTAACAGATTTTTTCCCCATGTGATTATTGCCTGGCAAGTGATATTTACCCCAAGAAGGCGGTAACACATACTTACAAAGACATTGCTTCCCAGACTGAAATAGGAAGCACTAAGTTTAATAGAACATACTTTGCATGTAACAACAATAACAGGAAAAAGACATAACTAATTTGAAAAGAGCTTGATAAGAAACTGAACATGTGGGGTGGGGAAACTGAGATGCAATATTATAGTATATTTGGTCAAAATCCAAAACAAAGGCAGTGAATAGTGAAAACTTTGTAGCATACATATTACAAATTGGAACTATTTAAAAAGGACAAAAATAAATTCAGTGAGCAGGATTAATCAACTTACATAGAGAAGAAGAATATTTTCTGGTGTCAGAGTAACAATATCCGCATATGGAAGCACTCCCACATTCACACTGAGCATTTAATGGATTATTGCATGGTCCGACAAATGATATATGAATAATGTTACAGAAAAAACAATATACAGAAAAATAGGTGATAGATCTACCATGGGCGAGTAACAGAAACTGGTACTGCATCCACTGCTGGTATGCTCCAGCTCAGTTCTGGTTTAATATCATAGACTATTTCATTGTTTATGTCTTCCTTTTGGAGCCAAACAGACAGCAACTCTTTTTTATCTCTGAGAAGAAAGCAAATACTGTGTGATGCGTCATCATCACTTGCAACAAATACCTGTTGAAACCAATTCCATGAACAGAAATGAAAGATTAAAGACCTAGACAATTGGTAGAAGAATTTATGATGCGCAAAGAGCAAGCCCAATGCAACTGAATTTTCTCCAAATGATGGTAGTTTACTAATTTATTATTAATGAAAGCACAACTTTCATATCACAAAATGCCATTAAAATGTGAACCCATTTCACAGTAGTTATTCATCTAGTTTCATCAAATAAGTTCCAATAACAGGATGCATAATTACAGGAACAGTATGTTTCTACTCAACAGAAAGGAAATCTGTGTATTCAAATCATTTCAAAACCCTACTACATAGACTTGAGTCATGACTACTTTGAGAAGTTGCATTTAAAAAAAGGTTAATCTGTGTATTCAGATCAATTCAAAACCCTATACACAGACTTGAGACAAGACTACTTTGAGAAGTTTATTTAAAATTAAAACCAAACTAAAATCAATAATATACTACAAAACACACCCAATATGGACATTAAGCTGTTGCCAATGTTAGATCAATATCAGCACCTTACTAGCAGCTGTCTGTGAGACCTTTCCTTGCCATATTTTCCTGAAGGAAAATTGTTTCGAAATCACTGCAGAAGGGCCATTAGAGCGCTTAGCATTTGATACTTCCATGTTTGAGTTAATAATTTCCACAGCCCACAAAGAATGTTGCATCTTTGCTGCAGATGAACCCAGAAGAAGTGAAATGAGTCACTTTCTGGTTTGGATGTCCAAAATGAAAAAGAAAAAAAGGGAAAAGCAATATCTCTAGCTGCAAAGCCTTGGAAAACCTCTGTTATATGATGCTGTCACGGGAACACAATCTCCTGTCCAAATAGTTTTTTCTTCAAATTCTTTCATTATGTCTAGTTTCCCTCTTTGCTGAACATAAGTTGACTGCAATAAGCCATACAAGGCATAACACATTAACACAAACAAAATACGTAGTACTTCACAAATTCTACACACACACACACAGAGTCATAACCTTGACAACTCTAAAATAAGATAGATACTTCCCATGAATAAAATGCGTGTGTGTGTATAGTTAGTTAGCTAGTTAGGTCTACTAAGGGTGTCAAGCATCAAGATCAAATGTTACAATCATACATACCTGAGGTTCTTCCAGGGCATCCTTCAATATCATATGTGAGGACATTGAAACCTCATCTCCCTTCATGATAAAATCATTTCCACGAATTCTATTACTATTGTGTGTGGGGCTTACATCCTTTTTAGGACAAACTATATCACGGGGGCCTAAATATGGGCTCAAAGAAGAACGTAATATATTCTTGAATGAATCCCCTTCTCCTGCTTGTTCGAGAAGCAAACCATAAGGAAGAGGCCATATTGATGAAATGCTGCGAGGAAGAGGAATAGAGATGACTTCTCCTGATAGAAGATAAGAAAAATTAAAAAACTACATCATCAATAATGCAAATATAAAATGAATTTAGGTGGTTAGCGCAGAAAAAACCAAAAATATTTTAAAGTGTGATTTGGAAAAAATATATACGCTAATCATTAAAATGTGAACACCCATAGTTCTTTGTCCATGATGACAGTCAATAATAATGGTTGAAAGAAAAACGCTAAAATAATCTAAGTTACAGAGGCATTGTGATTGCTAGTGTGTGGGAAATGATATTGGCACTCCAAGTTTTGATAGTGAAGATAGGTTATTCACGACCAAAAATGAGTATAGGTGAATCTGATAAAGATCAATAATATGATAAAACAATGAACAATACCTGAGACACTATAAATTGATAAACTATCCAATTGAAGAACACAAAGAACAACTTCAGAAGTATCACCCATCCGACAAAAGCATGCCTATGATATTGCAGAAAATTGTGTCAGCAAACTCTAACTTATAAAAATATCAAAGAAACTTTACAGAAATAATCAATTAGTTAATTTTGACATCATTGAGGACAAATGAAATGTTTAAGCACAGCTTGGTACAAGACAATATTGTCACTATTAACAGAACAGCAATCAATCTGTAAGATGAACCCACTTTTGTGACCTATTTTATATGAAATGATATCGACCTACGCAGACACTTAAACAAGTTCCTCCAATTAATATTCCGCTTATGGTTTACAATGTTTGGATAAAGTTGTTTTCAATTCAACTTATTTGAAATTTGGTGTAGAATAATAAAAATGACATTTATATTTTTAAAACTACAAAAAGGACTCATCAAAACAAGTGGTGACTTGACTATTTTATTTTATGATCAATGAAAGTATATATAATGTAGAACAGTAGTTTGGGACATATGGAGTATGGTTTGTGTTTGGTAGTCCGTGCACTTAATTAGCCACCTCAATTTTCCCGTTGAGGATGGATAGCCATGACAACAAAAGGAATGTGCAAAAACAAAAACAAAAAAAAACAAACACAAAAAGTCACCAGCGTAACATACCTTGATCACTGTCGAGGGTGAAGTGAACCTTTTATACACTCGTGAACCTATGCTCCACACTATCCTAGAACCATTCAGCCAAATTCATATCAAAATGTTGGCTTTGCAGAAAATACGATTGAAATTTGAAATGAACAAGCAGTATTCACTGACAAAAACATAATCCCTCCGTCCTATAAAACTTTTCAAAGACGAAAAAAGGTGTGCCCTAAAAATGTGCAATTTTGAAATTATTTTTTTATTTTTGACCTAACTTTATAATAAAATAGGATATGATGTGTATGATAGACGAGTCAACAACAACAACAACCCAGTTGTATGATAGACGAGTCAAAGAAAAAAAACGCCCATTTTTTGGGTGCACCCTTTTTTACTTTGAAAAGTTTTATGGGATGGGCTGCTCCACCCAATCCTAGAACCACTACGCCAAATTCCAATCAAAATGCTGTTTTTGCAAGAAATACAACTGAAATTTGATACTCCCTCCGTCCCAAATTATTTGTCACATTTACTTTTTCAACAGTCGCGGGAACTTTTGTTTATTTCTACGTTTTCATTGATTATTTGATAAAATAAAATATTCTTAACGCATCTTATTTCGAAGAATTTTTCATGTAGTTTTTTGATATGTGATTTTTATTTTTTATTTCTTTACCAATATGTAAATAGAATGAATTGAAAAAACTTGATATTTTGTCTCGGTAATAGAAATGTGACAAATAATTTGGGACGGAGGGAGTATGAACAAGCAGTAAAAAAAACATACTCCTTATTTAAGAAATGCATACGAGCTGAGATTACCTATCCCCTCTAACAAAAAGCTCGTGGTCGCTCCGATCACTGGGATGTGAGGTCGAATTGAAGCCATCAGCAACTTCTCTTTGTTTGGTGACTTCCGGGCTGAAGAGGGAGTAAGTGTAATCGCCAGATAAACTGTCCGGGGGGTTTCCGTCCATAGCTTCGGCGACCAGCCCGAATGGCTTGAAAGCTCCTAGAATGCATGCTTCGCGGACGCCAATAGACATCTTCTTGTGATCAGATATGTGACTTGTGTGATCTTTGATTCGGTTTGTTACTAGGAGATAGAGCAGAGAGATCACTTCCGTGCAAACAATAACATAAACCCTAGAAATTAATCATTTTCTATGCGCCAGGAGTGCTGAATGGCGCGATACCAGCCCGCATATCAGATTCAAATTTTCGCCGTATGGAAGACTATGGAACCTATCTAATGGGTGCGGGCGGATATGAGCTCTGTCGCAGTCTCGATGAGGCCACTTCGCGGACGAGGTGAAGTGGCTCCTAATGGGTCAAATGTTTGATCCGACTCAATTCCCCAAGATTCATTGGATCTATAGGGTGTATTGGACAAAGACCCATTGGATTAGAATTTAAATTTAAGAGGAATGCTAGATTTCCTTTTATAATACGGAGTACTAATTTTTTTTCTTGCTTTTGCGTGGTGGAGATGGAGGGGTATAAATGGGATACAAAAATTGATGTATCCCTAGTATTTTTGAAAATTTAAATGAAGAAGAATTTTATACCCAACTATTTTTAACTCTAAAGTCTAAACTACTCTGTATATTTTTACGTGGAAAAAATAGTTTTAGTTCTTATTTTTTATATTATATTGCTCTCTTCGTTACAGAATTATTTATATTTTCCCTATTATAAAATTATAGAAATTTTTGTTTTTTTGTAAATTTTTATTAGGTATTTGATAAAATAAAATACTTCGTATTTTTTTGTCACTACTTATTTTGTAAAAATTTTACGTAGTTTTTTAATATTTATATTTTTTATTTATATACCAATTTTTGAATAAAATAAATTGATAAAATATAAAATATATTTATATGATGGAGAGAGTATACAACTTCAAATACATTTAATCGTGTGGTTCAAGAACAACTCAAAAAAATATTTAGCATAATATAGAGTATCATTTTTATTGTGTAAAATCCAATATCATTTGAGTGGGGTTCTGTTGACACTGGTCAATGGTAACACAAGCAGTGTCACTACATTTTTGGAGCACTATCGATACTCCAATTAAAAAGTTGATAATTCATACTCCTCTAACCCACCTCTTAAACCCTCCATCCTAGCCTCACTTGTACCCTCCCACCCCAGCTCCGCCCTAAGCCTCCCTCTAATAATATGTATTCCTATTATCTAATATTCCCTAATATACAATTAGTATTTTTGTGTAAAATAACACAGGGGAAAAATAAAGAGTATTCGATACAAGCAGTATTGATACTGTACGAGTTAAGTTCTCTACCATAAGGTATCAGATATGGTAAGTCCTGAAATTTAGCGTGAAGACCTATACTAAAATTAAATCAAACTTAGTAGACACTCTGTACCTAAAATGCATAAAATACAGGTGTATTTGTATTAGAAATCACCTTAAATAGCACTAAAATATACTCCCTCCGTTTTTTAAAAGTGTTCCTATTTTGACTTTGTGTAAAAATAAGGAAGTGTTAAATTGTAGTTGACTTCCAATTTTGCTCTTGATGTGATGGGTAAAAGTAAGATATGATGGATTGAGTATTAGAGAAAAAGTATGACGTGATAGGTAGGGTATGAAAAAGTAAGGGTAAAAGCGGTTTTTTAAAAGAAAGTGGAATTGTTTTGTTGAAGTAAAAAAAATGAAAGAGGAAGAGTTTTTGAAAACGGAGGGAGTAGAAAAAGTAGCAAAATAAGAGTTCTATGTTTTTATTCGCACTGTGGTAATGTGGCACTGTACATATGCACATTATTATACTTTTGGTAATGTACATGATCATGTTTGGTAATGTAAATACATTTTAACTTCTATTTTAAGAATAAAAGTATAAAAATTCTATTTTGATATATTTTCAATATTTTATTCCTACTTTAGTCTTTTTCTCTATTTGTACATGATACAACATACGGACATACTGAGAAAAAAAATACATGATACCAACTTAAATAACAATCTAAGGTTGCATACTATTCGTGTAATCCGATCAGATCTAATTTTTTTCAAATCTTGTCTAATCTAATTTAATCTAATCTCGTCTTATATGATTGTTTCTGATCTGATTTTAATAAGAATAAGTATTAAACTGAAAAAATGAATTTGATTTTAATAAGAATAAGTATTAAACTGGAAAGAATGCTCCTTAAGCCCCAAACATAGCAAGAAATGGTGAATCCAAATCTAAAATTTGACTCCTATTACTTTCAAAGAGACCTTGTCAAAAAGAAATCAAAGCAAAAAAATATTCCCTCCGTCCTACAAAAAAGTTCTCATTTTGAATAGTATTTAGTCAAATATTTGCACGCTTTGACTACAAATTGTGAGAAATGTATATTGAATTATAAAATAAATTTAATATAATTGGATTCATCTTATAATCTAGTTTTGATATCTCAAATTTTGTTAGCATTTCTTTATTTAAATTATACTCCGTATTTAATTTTTGGTCAAGTAAGTTACTATTTGACCAATTTATGATCAAAATGAGAACTTTTTTGTGAGACAGAACAATATTTTGTGTTTATGAAGAAAATTATTGAGTCGTAAGAATTTTTACATTTGTAATGCATAGAATTCTTCTCTTGGTCCGTTTCAATTTTTCATTTTTTTTCGTTTTCTTTGATCTTACTATTTTATTACCATTTTTTATCATTCAAGAATCAACAGCACTACAATTTTCTTCTAATTTTATCTTTTCATCATTTTTTTTCCTTTCATTTCTTTCTATCGTTTTCTCCCCACATCTAAACAAAAGGTTATAATTTTTATGTTTTTTAAAATGAAAGATAAGAAATGATAGACGTTTATTAGGTCATGTTCTTTTGATTTGAAGAATTAGTTCTCGTTCATTTCAACTCTTTCCCATTTCACACGAAGTTTAAATAATCCCAACTTTCATTTTGTTGTCTAAAACAGGCATTTCCGTTAACCGTCCGTTAGAAACTTCACGGCGACCCAAAACTGGCGAATATCAATAAAGTTGGGATTATTATGCATCACAGTGAAAGGTGTGATTATTTTTTAAAGACCGGGTAAAGTTGAGATTATTTTTGATAATTAAAAAAGTGAAAATATCTGATGGTCGTCGTCCAAGCTTAATAAGTATAGAGAAATTAAGGAAGGAATTTGTAGATTTCATTGGGTGTTATAGACAATAAAACCCAAAATAAATAATTTCTTATTAGTGGTATTTTAAAGGATAAATCACACCAATACTCCAAAATTTCAATAGGTTATGTAAAGACTCTAGAAGTCAATAAATGACATCAATGCTCCCTAGTTTTTTCTATATTAACACTAGACCCGATCACGGGCCCGGGTATCCGGCCCGCCCGCAAAAGCCCGCCCGCAAAATAGCGGGCTTGGGCTTGACATTTTAGGGTACGGGCCGGGCTTGGGCCTTATAAATGGCGGCCCGAAGATTTTAGGGCCGGGCTCGGGTTTATGCTCAAGCCCATGGGCCGGGCCGGCCCGAATAAATTAAAATATTTATTATTAGTATAATTATAATAAAATAACAATAACAACATTAATAATAATAAACACACATACATACTTCTATGGAGAGAAAAAATAAACTATAGGTTTATATAATAAAATGAATACATCTTTACTACTCCGTATTGTTTGCAACGTATCACACATTGATTATGACATTCCAATAGATAATATTTTGTACTTCATACATAGTAGCAATATCAAACAAAATATATTTATATATTAATTTTTCTTTCATTACTCATAATAATTTTTATATCAAATATCTAATATATTAACTTGTTACTTTATTTTTTTTTAAAAAAAAATTAATTTTTAAATTATTTAGAAGTTTTTGTCGGTTGGGCCGGGCCGGCCCGAAGCCCGTGGGTAACCATGCGGGCCGGGCTCAGGCTTCAATTGTTAGGCCCGTTATACGGGCCGGGCCGAGCTCGGTCCTAGAAAATTCTCGTAGTATCTCGGCCCGGCCCAAAACCTGGCCCGGCCCGCACTTTGATCAGGTCTAATTAACACGGGTACTCCAAGAATTGAAATATGCTTACATGAATGCCCAACATTTGGAGTATTGAAATAAACACAATTAATTCTCAGAGAAATAATGTAAATATAGGAAAATTTTAGAAACATTATTGGTGTCATTTAATGATTCTTGGTGTATTTATGTAAACTCCTGCATTTGAGAATATTGATGTGAATTTTTCCCATTTTGAATTCAAAAATTGCATGCAGAATCTAGTGCTTGTTCGTTATAAAAACTCGCATTAATACACTTTATAAATTTGGATTAATGATGCTAATATTATACTGTGTTCTATTAAAATATACTTATATGGTTTAATTTACTCTTTTGTGTTTCAAATATTGTATTACTGCTATTGATTAAAAAAGTAAGAAAAATCATAAGTATGGCTGTATGAGCCTCAAAAGAATTAATATTCATGTATGTTTCAAAAAAATATTCATGTAATTTGAAACAAAAATGGTTTGATATATTTAAATAAAAAGAAAAGGTTAATATAAATAGAGTACAAATTACTCTAAAAAATATAGAACTATTTTGAGGTTAAATTATGTCAATAAACGCATGAAATATCAAGAATAAAATAAGAATCTTAAAAAGTGTGATGAATAGTGAATTATAATGAGACAAAAAATTAAAATAAACAAATTTTGTATCATATTATTTTGATTAAATGAAAATAGTTTTTAAAAAAATATTTTGAATAAAAGCATGAAATTTCAATACCTTTCATTTTTTTCCAATATTTTCTAAGTCTTTCCAGTTTCTTTGATTTTTTTTTTTGAATTTCCTTGAATTCCTTCAATTTTCTTCTATGTCATTCCAATTTCTTCCAAAAACCAATTCTAAAATCACATTTCAAAAGAATATGGTTGGTTGAAATAGGCGCGTGCACAATCCGGCAGGGCAGGAATTTGGCATTTAGTACGGAGTATCTTAGCTTTTCTCAAGGGCCCGAACTCATAAATAAATTCCATTAGTACTAAATAGGGACGTAAATGAATCGAATATTCTTTGTTCGATTCGTGATTTGTATTTGTTTAAAGTGATTCGTATTTGATTTTTTCGAATCCGAATACAAATACGAATTTGAATAAATATTTGAATCTTTATCGAATACGAATATGAATCAAGGGTATTCGATTCGTGAGTTTGACAAATATATTCAGAATATAAATCTAATTATACAAATTATACAATATATATATATATATATATATATATTAAAATATAAATGAACTGAATAATTTTAAACGAACCGAATATATTTAAATGAATCGAATATTTAAACGA